GGGCCAGTTTTTCAGATTAAATTGAGTTCTGTACGAGACTTCCTAACTGCTTTTGAAGAGCAACAACAATAAGGTGAAAAGATGCCTACTGATGAACATTTCAATCTCAATGGAAACACGAGAAAACACAACAACAAAGAGATATCCAAAGAAAACGTCAACACAAGTAATAAATGATAAATTTATGAAACAAACACATATTATATATGAGATGAGATTGTTTAATTGAATCTGAATGTATTTGCTGATGCAAACAATATATGAATATAGAATAACAATTTATATGGTGACTGAATGTATGTCATACCTTTCTTATTTTGTTGTAGCCGACCAGAGATCTTATTTACAGGTTACATTTGACTTGCATTTGTGCACCATCTTACTCTCACCGACCATCATCATGGAAATAAAAAACAAATATTATTAGTATGTGTTGAATTTCATAATGATTTATAATCTAATTTATTTGTGTTAATATATTAAACATATAAGTACATAGTTGTGAAACTTGCATTTATGATTTTTCACATATAACTTAATTGTAGTTGTAATAATACATGCTCGAAATTGCTTTTAAAATATGTATCGCTTTTGGACTTCAGAAATCAACTGAAAAATACACAAATATATCATGTATGAATTCAAAAATTAATAAAAATAATATGGTCTGCTGATATATATCAAAAACTCAATAAATATAATCTAAATCTTTATTATGAAACCAGACAATACATTTTGTTTGTGGGAATCTGTCAAAACAGAAATTTACCTTTCCAAGAGTATAGTATTCAATATTGTCTTTGCCATAACACTCATATATGCTATCACTCCTATATGCTATCAGATCTGTCAAAAAAAGCAAAATTTTAACATACAATTTTGTCGATCGGTTCACTTCAAACATGTAATATAAATAATACACACTTCTGTTATAGATATAATATGGTATTTTCTCAACAAAAATAGACATATAATCATAAATTCTATTTGCATCATGCCAATAATCTAAATCTTGGTATAGTATGCGAAATACGAAGATTGAATCGCTTTTTTAAATGCGAACAATAATCGACCTTTCAGTTGGTTTATAGCTGAACTGAACATAATAACAATCGAACATAATTCAATTTTTCAGAAATCCTAGGCAAATTACAAAATTCAGCTTGGAATACATTTATAAGAATTATCAAAACAACAAGTAGAAACAACGCACCACATATCAAATTTGAAAACACGTAACAATGATAAACTCGAGATTTTAAAACTTATTCCTCATATGCTATTGCACCCTTCTTGCTCACGTAGAAGGCAGAATGAACTTCCTTATATTTTGTTCTTTACATGACGTTTCTGTCAAAATGACCAAAACCATGGTGAGGTAATTTTACATAAAATAACATGTAAAAAGATAAAGTTACAATTCAGTATCACAATTATACATGATTAATCAAGTCCGCAGAATGAGAAACGAGCTAAATGTCCAGATTCTGAAATTCGCTATGTAACTCCAACTCAACTGGTTACCGCGATTTTGATTCAAGCCCATGCACCTTTAGTCCAGATCAATTCCTTATTTGCCGAACACCTTCTCAGTAAAATATTGCTGTTGAGTGCCATATCTGAAAGACTTGGACGCTGGTTGAGTGCTGGTCTTGGAGTCCTTTCTCAAAACAACGATCGCCTTCAATCGATTTTCCCTTCCCCTTATCTATCTAGAGCAAATCAAACTGTGCGATTCAATAATCAATAGATTAAAACAATTAGATCAAAAAAATTCTGTTTTAAATACTGAAATTGATAAAAAAAAACATAAAATTATGAAGAAGAATTACCAGTATCCTTGATCTTCATCGTGTAGAGTGGGTAATCTGGAATTGTCGAAGCGGTGGAATTCGAAGCGGCGAAAATGAGAGGATAGAATAACCCTCATTTCCGATATTTTCGCTATAAATACATCACGTAATGGAAGGATTTCAGTCTATTTTCGATCAGTTAAATCGACCGTCCGATTATTTCCTGTGTAGTTGGGCCTTAATTGTTTAGTGTGGTGGGTATATATATTAAAATTCTTTTGTTGGGCCTTAATTGTTTAGCTTTTGGCCCATATTTATCTTAATTGAAACCCTAAAAATGATCATTAGCCCACACATTAGTACTAATTATATTTAGATGTCATAATATATAATATATGTATATATATTTACTTTTTTTTTTAATATTAAGATTGTTTGTTTTAATATTGATATCATTATTATTTTACATTGTAAGGTATAACTTAGAATTTATATTTGTAAGATACTCACTGGCGATCACGCATGTGATAAAGTGTTGATTCCAAGAATGGTTATAACTCCATGTGATGTTAGAATTCCTTTCAAGTTCCAGCGTCGTCAGTTTCTCATTATGGTCTCTTACGCCATGATTATAAATAAGAGTCAGAGACAATCATTATCTCATGTTGGCTTATTTCTTAAGAAACCAGTGTTTTGTCATGATCAGTTGTATGTTGTTGTCTCCCGTGTCACTAACATAAATGGTTTGAAAATCTTAATTTGTTGCGATGATAACGTGCCAAAGAATCAAACTATGAACGTTGTATATAAGGAAGTGTTCAATATATATAGATTAGTTTTTCCCAACAATATTATTAACCACATGATGTTTCTGTTAGTAAGTACTTTGAATTGTAACTAATACTAGTACGTACCTCGTGCGATGCACGGAACAAAAATATTAAATGAGTTATTTTCATAGCCTTGTCCGTTTAAGTCTAAAAGGTAATAATGTTAATATCTATTTTCTACCTCTTTTAATCAACGTTAAGTCTAAAAAATTATTAAGCCGCCCTCTGGCAAATATGTATGGAGTTATGTGTTCGTGTCTCATAAGTCACAAACATTATGAATAACATTACAAATTATTCATTCAACCTTTTATTCATTGAAAATATATTAAAATAGTTTATATAACAACCATTAAATACCACTTTCAATATATTTATAAATAAAAAGTACATAAAATTTATGGTGTGTTCAAATTTAAATAATTTTTTATGGGCTCAATTTTAAATCATCCAGACATTTGGTCAAACGCATAGCTGTGTTCTAATTTAAATCATTGGTATTTTGGTCAGTTGAAATTTAAATCATCTACCATGGTACTGTGATGGTATTATATATATACAATTTTTTAGCAAATAATATGTGCTT